CTCTCTCTCTGCCGTCTCCCCTCTCTCTCTCTCTCTGCCGTCTCCCCTCTCTCTCTCTCTCTCTGCCGTCTCCCCTCTCTCTCTCTCTCTGCCGTCTTCCCTCTCTCTCTCGTCTCCCCTCTCTGTCTGCCGTCTCTCTTCTCTCTCTGAATTTCTCTCCCTCATGGCTGTCTTTCCTTACCTGCACTGCAGCAGCTTCCCAGGTCTCCTCATGTGCGCCGTCCTGTCCTCCTGCGGTGCTTGTGTGGCCGATGCTGCACACGTGGAGAGGTGTCCCGCCCCTTCCCGTCTGCGGCGTCCGACACATTCAACCACACTAGCACCGCGGGAGGTAACTCGGGTCAGTGAGCCAATCGCAATCTACCACTGTTGGCTTTGCGATCGACTGGTAGATCGCGATCTACCTAATGGGCACTCCTGGCTTAGATAAATGAATAGTAAAAGGTTTTCTATCTGTCTTGATGTAGTTTATGTATATGGGAGCAGGTTGGGAATTGTAGACCGTTGTACTTTTACATGGATCTTTGTCTCGCTGTAATCACTCCAGATAACCACTGACTGTGCTCCTTTTCTAGCCATTGACCTCATTAATAACCTGCTGCAAGTAAAGATGAGGAAACGCTACAGTGTGGACAAAACCCTCAACCATACCTGGTTACAGGTGAGCACAGCAAACCCGTTAAACATTTACAGTATTCTTTTCTGGTTTTTAGGAAAGCACAAATACGTTTCTGCTGATCTTTAGAGTTTTTTTTTCCTTGAAGCCATACTTTTAGGAAATTATTGAACATAACTAGACTTGTGTCGTTTTCTGTGACATGTAGTGTAAAATTATCCGGTCATAGATATGAGAGATCCCATAAGCAAGCATTCTCAGTGTTGTTCATTCTCTATGTTGCATATACATACATTTACATCTTGTTTATTTGGTGCCTTACTTTGTATGATCAAAAACTGTCAACCTATATCTCCCTGACCCAAGCGTGATGGGCCAGGGAGACGTACTCATAAAGCCCTCCAGCCGTGATACACACACACTAACACACAGTAACACACACTAACACACACTATATATAACATATAGAACTTCAGCTCGTTGGCAGGTAAGCGGGGCAGGACCTTTTCTTTTCAAAGGTTGTGCAGCAGCGAGCACAGCTAGACAAGTAAGGATTACTGTAATGAAGAGGATGGTTAGTATTGGACCAGGTGGGCTCGGTGGGTTACTTAACCACCTGCTGTCCGGCCGTTGTAATTAAGCGGCCGGACAGCGGCTCCTTGGATGCAGGTGGGCGTTTTTAAATGTGTCTGCCGCTAGGCGGCAGACACGAGCGGAAAATCAGCTTGAAATGTGAACAGCCAGCGATGGCTGGCTCTTTACATACAACTGTTCGGGCGTGTGTAGAGACGTCTGGTGGCTTGTAATATGCGTGCAGGTGTGCGCCACCCCCCTCCGTCGCAGCTGCTGCTGGCGATCTCGAGTTCCGCTGTGCCCGGTGTGAGCCCGGGACCAGCACAGCAGCTCTGTGGCCGGAGATCAGTACACGATCTCCGTTTGATCTCCTCCTCGTCGGAATGCAGGAAGTGATGTATATTACATCACTTCCGCATTCCTCTGTCACTCTCCAGTACAGAAGCTGGAGAGAAGCTGGTGAAGCAGGTCTCTGTTTCATCAGCTTCTCTGGGGGTCTCTAGTTGACATTAGGGGTCTTAAAGACCCCTGATGTCTCCATAAAGGGGACCTGTCACTGCAAATTGGCTATCACATAGGGGGCTTGTTGGTGCCCTATGTGATAGCAATAAAGTTAAGTGAAAAAAAGGTTTTAAAAAATTAGTTATAAAAATGTAAAAGTCACATATTTTTTTTAAGGTCCCCCAAACACACATGCAAACGTGTCGAGTGCGCCTACGTGCGATAACGACAATTGCACTCACTGCGCCACACATGTTACATATTGCCACGAACGTCTGAGTGCGAGCAGTAATTTTAGGGCCATCAATCACTGATAATACTAATCTGATGAGCGGTAAAAGCTTTTAAAGCATCGCCTATGGCCAATCTTGGGTATGGTAGTTTGTTTACGATTTCGCGGACACCCGCAATTTTAAAACTTGACATGCTTGGTGTCCATTTACCCGACGTGACCCCGACCTTTATATTGTGCCAAAAATGTGGGTAATAAATGTTTTATAATTATAACGTAGGGAAAACATGTTTTTTTTTCAGTACTTTTTTCATTATATAGTAAAAAATAAAGCCTCCCAGTGGTGATTATATACCACCAAAAGAAAGCTCTATCTGTCCCCATATAAATGGTATAAATTAATTTCAGTACAGCGTTGCATGACAGAATAAATGTCAGTCAAATTACTGCAGCGCTGAACACTGAAAAATGGCCTGGCCAGGAAGGGGGTTTAACACCCCGGTCAGCAAGTGGTTAAATGACAACTTCACTAAAGGTGAATTGGTCCTGTAAATTGTGAAGGCGAGAGGGTGCGTCACTCCTAAAGCTTCACAGCTCTGGCTTATCCACGAGAGGAACCAATTTAAACATGCTAACAGGACTGATCAGGGTGAATGGCTGTAGCCGTATATTGTGGGTGACCGCTATCTCATATACAGACAAACCAACAGGGATGTTTTGTGCAGGAGGCCCCTGTTTTATAATACTTGTTTTGGTATAATACCACTTTTTGAATGCAGCTTTGTTAATCCAATCTTTTTTGACTTTAGGATTATCTGACCTGGCTGGATCTGCGTGAACTGGAGTACAAGATAGGGGAACGTTACATCACCCATGAAAGTGATGATCTACGCTGGGAGGCATACGCTGATGATCACTGTATCCAGTACCCTCCCCACCTCCTTTCCCAACCATCCATTGAACCCGACGATGCTGAGATGAGAGCCCTGGGGGAGAGAGTCAGCATTCTCTGACACTGCTAAACGGTCTCACACCATGTTCCCCTCCAAAAAAAGAGAACAATAGGGAAAGGAGATGAAAACAGATGTTAGATATTGAATGTACAGTATTCATCAATCCATTCTGATTGTGTGCATCACTCCGCAAGTCTTTAAAATACCTCTGGACTGTATCCCTCTCACCAACCTAATACATTCTTTCACAAGAGCCTAATGAGGACAGCAGTGTAGAAGGGGCATCCCTTATAAACTGAGGACACTTGGAGCATTATGGGATAGACAGCATTGTAGGCACTAGTCCGTCTCTGTTGATGTGATGTTATTATATTGTAAGCTCTGAGCTGATTGTGAAGCCTGCAATGCATTGTGGTCCAGCTCAGGTCCGCTGCCTTTTAATACCTGATCTGAAAACTCCATTTTACGCCAGCGTGTGACTAAAATACAGATAATCTCTGCGCACACAACTATGCCTCAAAATTACATTAAAATTATTATTTTTCTCATGAGGTCAAAAGGGAACCAACCCTGTCTGTTTTATTGACGGGTAATAGAGCTACAGTCTGTTGGGACTGTGTTACAGTCACTCCATAATGTGTTGCAGGCACAATCTACAGCGCTGGGGAGAATCCTGTTGGTCACATAGTATGTGTTTGTTTTTTTTTTTCTTTTTAATTTTAAACTCCAGAGGAAGCTGTGTGTTAGTTTTATTTAATTTGTAGCCTGAAGGATGACCTACAATTTGCAAGGTGAGATAATGTGTGAGGTCAGCAGGTCACAGGAAGTGCCCAGTGACCATCATAGCCCAGGGCTAGCAGAGCAATGAAGATAAGATTTTTACAGGCTGTATAGTTGGGTTGCCCGGCAGTTGTGTCTTGAAAACCATGAAGCGTACGGCTCACTCTCTACTGACAGATTTTTATTAAAGACCAGTGCTCATTTTCAGGGCATTCAAATTGAGGTTTCTCTGGCTTCGCCTCACCCAGGCCTAGGTTTGGTTTTGTCCTCAGTTTTGCTTAATTATATAAAAAAGTTACTAATATTTTTTTCTAAAGGTCAAATACAGTGTATTTAGCATCTTTTCTCAGTATGTTCCGTATTATACTCCTCTGGCAGATTTTAGACTATATTCTTACATTTCTATCCTAAATAAAACCAAAATACTGTTATTACTTTTTTCTATGTATTTTGTGTGTTGAATCTTGTCGTTCGGCTGCATGCACACACAAGCACCTACTTGTACACCTACTTGTACTACTACCTGTACTACTACCTGTACACCTACCTGTACTACTACTTGAACACCTACTGACAGAAAGTAAAGGGAAATCTCCACAATGGGGAACAGGCAGCCAAAAAAGCTTACTGGGGTTGACCTATTTCCTACTATACCCAAAGCTAAAATGTTTTGGCTTTACATACTCACTGGCCACTTTATTAGGTACACCTTGCTTGTACTGGGTTAGACCCCCTTTTCTCTTCAGAACTGCCTTAATTCTTAATGAAAAAGAATCGACACAGTGCTGTCATAAAGGGATGGACGTGATAAGCACCAATACTTGGGTAGCCTGTGGCATTTATATAATGCTCAATTGGTACTAAGGGGCCCAAAACGTGCAGAGAAAATATCCCCCACACCATTACACCACCACAGCCTGAATTGTTTATAGAAGCCTGGATGGATCCATCCTTTCATGTTGTTTTTGCCAAATTCTGACCCTACCATCTGAATGCGCAAAGAAATTGAGACTCATCAGACCAGACAACGTTTTTTCAATTTTCTATTGTCCAATTATGGTAAGCACTTGCGAACTGTAGCCTCCGTTTCCTGTTCTTAGCTGACAGAAGTGGCACCCAATGTGGTCTTTTGCTGCTGTAGCCCATCTGCTTCAAGGTTCAATGTGTTGTGTGTTTAGAGATTATTATTATACAGGATTTATATAGCGCCAACAGTTTGCGCAGCGCTTTAACTTTGTTGAAATGTCACAACTGACATGTCATTAAAGGAAAACTATGGCCTAACCCTTTTTTGCCATAGTTCTCTTCAGGGTCACAGGAGGACATACTGTATACTAACATCCTCCGGAGACCCAAAACTTAGTATATAGCGGGCTATTGCCTGATATATGCTGAGAATGCAGAGCCGCAATACTGTCGAGATCCACCCCGCTAGCTGATTGACAGCTGCCACTGCCTGTCTAGAATCCCATGTATTCATCATTTCTGGGAGGCCTAAAGGGAGAGGCAGAGGTACTTCTTGCATTTCTAGTAGGGGCGAGCAGGTTCCAAAACCACAGGACAATGTGGTGGTCATTGGTGGTGGCAGGCAGGAAAGTGAGTGAGGGGCATGACATCAGGGAGGCAGAATATCATCTAGGGACATGAAATGGAATGAAGGAAGCAAGTGTTCTATTCCATTGGATGGCACTTCCCCACATGTGCATGGCACTGCTATCCCCAGGGCTGCTACACATAGCTCAGCAGTCTGGGCTTTTAGAGATGCTCTTCTGCATACCTTGGATGTAACGAGTGGTTATTTGAGTTACTGGCTCCTGCCTTTCTATCAGCTTGAACCAGTTTGGCCATCCTCCTCTGACCTCTGGCACCAACAAGGCATTTTCGTCCACACAACTGCCACCCACTGGATATTATCTCTTTCATACCATACTCTAACCCTAGAGATGATTGTGTATGAAAATCCTAGTAGATCAGCAGTTGCTGCAATAATCAAAACAGCCCGCCTGGCACCAACAACCATGCCATGTTCAAAGTCACTTAAATCACCTTCTTGACTCTTGTCTACATGCCTAAATGCATTGAGTTGCTGCTATGTAATTGACTGATTAGATATTTGCATTAATAAGCAGTTGAAGAGGTATACCTAATAAAGTGACCGGTGAGTGTATATATTTTAATTTGCAGAGGGAAAATTACATCTGCATTATGACTGATTATAAAGGTCAGGGTTTCTACTTTCACTGCATCCACATTATTTTAATAATACAAGTTCCATGACTGTAGATGTTTGAAAGTGTCAGGTCTGTGGCCCATTCCAGCACACAGGTATATATGTTATGACACTGTATACCAGTCAGTGACCACCTCCACTGGACCAGGTTTGGGCTCTACTTTGTATATCTGAAAGGTTGGAACCATAGCTCGTAGATCACATTGCATGTATTGACCAAAGTTTATTTTTTTCAACTATTATGGCAAAGAGAAAGTAAAAAACGTCAAGGATGAATGGCTGCTTGAACACAACACTCTTGTCATTGGCTGGAGAGGCAGAACTTTTTTTTATTAAAGTGATATTAAAGTCAAAAGGATTTTAAGCGATATTTCAAATTCTGATGAAATCACTTACAATTGATGCTGCTTCTTGATGTTTAAAAGTTTTAGTTTCCTGTAGAATCAGATGGTCCCCCGAGCACTGGTCCTGACTTCCTGTTTTAGAGTGACTCCTTTCTCAAATAAAGTGCTATGGAGTCACCCTTGTATGTGTTAGTAAGCTGTGTGTGTCTCCACAAACACACAGGAAATCAAGCTACTGCCCTCCCTCCTGGCTCCCTCTTCTTCCCTTCACCCTTCTCCAAGCTAGTAGATGAACAGTTGCTGGAGCCTGCACTGTCCTTTGTGATCTTGTACTGGACAGGACGTTCAGGGAAGCTGAGCTGAGAGACTTGGAAGCAGCTGTTCAAAAACATGATTGTAAGTGTTCGGCCAAAAAAGCAATGCTTTGCTGGGCAATGTACATTTGTTTGATCTGGATTCATTATTGAAAAACAGTTTGAGAGGTCAATACTACTTTAAGTGAATAATTAAGTGAAAATTGTTCCATGTATGCCTTCCTTGGGCCTTTCCTGAAAAAAACAAATCACTGTATACTTATTTGTCATTGACTCATAAAATGTAACTCATCTGAGAACTGACAGTGATTGTTTCCAGAACAATCATGAAATCCTGGACGTCACTTGTAATGTATGAAGTCTTCTTATAACATCTATTCCATACAGAAGCTGCTAATTTGTTTCCCACCAGTGATATGTACCAATAATCCTATATTAGCATGTAGGCTTCCAGGTCAATGTGCCCCAATTACATCTGTACTGAGAGAAATAGGTCAGAGGCCATTGCTTCTTCAGTCTGAAAAAGATGGAGCCCCTCACTGTCTCTGACCTCAATGCACTGACCTGGAATAAACATGCAGCTAGCGAAGTCAGAAGAAGGACAGCACTCTTGATCTTTGTACTGGTTCCTGGTGAGTGACTTTAAGGATTGACGTCTTTGGCTGAACGTAACGCCTAGATGTGTGTTCCAAAACGAAGGCAATGGCAGCCTATGTGTTATCTCAGTACTTGTTTCTGTTGTTTATTTTAAAGTACTACTGCCAGTCTGTGTTTCCATTTCTGTCATAGAAGAAATAATTAGTGTGCGGCTTTTAAAATACTCCAAATACATATAGTTGTGCTGCCATCATTGTTTGTTCAGACTTGTGGAAATAGGAGCTATACCATGAGTGCATGAACATGCACCTGTTTCTGTTCTGCCTCATATTCTTTACTGACCAGTGACAGGTACTCACCACTCGAGTGAGAGGAATGAGTCCTAATCACACACCACCTTTTTTTTTCCCAAGCCAGTGAGATCAAACTATTGTTTTTGCCTCTTTCTGAAGGGCAAATAGGTTTATACAATAGGGCAAAAAAAATCAACTAGGGTTGCACAGATACCATGTACAGTACTCGGTACAAGTACCGATACTTTTGAGCTCCAAGACTACACTAGAGAAAAATAAAAAAATTAGGAGGCAGCTGTCATTTGTAAGGAGCATACGGAGCTCCTGGGATTTGTACATCTCTGTTTTAATGTACGATTTTGTTTTTATAAATATAAATAAAGTGATGCACAGATACCAGTTTTGCGAGTACGAGTACTGGTACTTGCCGAGTACTTACAAGTACGAGTACTGATACATTTTTGTTTATTGTCATGTGACAGTTTTTCTAAAACAATATTGACTAATGATTTCAGGACAGTGGTGGAGCGCCAGAGCCAGGTCCCAGCTGCAACCGCTGCAACCCTGTTAGTTCTCATAAAAATGCCAAGTATCGGCACCAGTACTCGAAAAGTATCTGTGCATCCCTATCTTTTACTGATCCGACTGCATAAAGAAGAGATCTTGTTGCCTTAGGTAGCTGCACTTTGCTCTGTGCCATTGACCTTTTAACTGCTTTACAGAATACACCGTCAAGT